GGGGGGGGGGGGGGGGGGGGGGTTATAGTAGAGGGTTTTACGGCGCTCGCAACTGCAAAAGGAATTATGAGCGCCAAGGGGTGGGTGTCAACAGAAAAGTCTTTACAGGGAATCAGACAGACTGCTCACCTCTCTAGCTTCAACAGCACAAGGTCTGCTTCGACTGTCAAGGCACCCCGGAAATAGCAGGTCACAAGAGAGCGACAAATATACAAAAGAAATAGAGGAAAATGACAATAGTAAGGATCAGGAAAGAAAAAGCAGTAGTTCCCTGTTGTAGATCAGGCACAGTTATGAGTGTGATTTGAGTCAGCCCATTTACAATTTTACTATGCTTGAACGAGAAATGTCCCCCCTTTGGGAATGGCCTAAAGACACTACAGTCAGTGGCACTGCCCCGGGGGGTGTTGTTTTGTGTATACATTTATTTTGTTCCTCTGATTTGCCTATCTGTTTTCTAAAGTATAGCACATTATATCAAAAGAAAGAAAATAGAAAGGGGACTGTGAAAAAAAGGACTATTTTCTGATAAAAACATGGATATTATTTCAAAAATTGTGGCTCAAAGGTTTCAATTTTAGTTCTAGTAGTGTTATGAAATGTTCAACATTAATAGATCATACAAAGGGCAAAGGTTAGAAGTATTGCTAAAGGGTAACGTACAGAAACAAAAGACGGAGGAGAGATAAGGGTGATAGCTGTTTGACAGTAAAGAAGGAGCAAACCACACTACAGTGCCTGCCAACCACCCATGGGATCAAAGGGTTAAGATGAGAGTTCATTAAAAGTGTTTTTCAGTAATATTTAACAAAAGTAAAGAAAGTGAACGCGGCCAGCAAACTAAAGGAATGCTGTGTGAACGAGTGAACAATGTAAACAAGAGAAGTAACCTGAGAAAAATCAAGTTCTGTTTTGATTGTGTGAAAGTGAAAAAATTAGACACTTCATAAAAACACACTTGGAGACTAACAGACACAAGCAAAAACGCACTGTGCTGATTACCAAGAATTGCAGAAACACTGCCTTGCAAAGTGATCAACAAATGTCTCCTCTTCACTGGAAATGATGTACTTAGCACCAGTTTCAATATCTATCAACTCTTGTTTTGAGACTTACAATAAGTCAAAATGAGACAGAAATGTAAGCTGCTTGATATTATGTACTTTAAAATATGGGATTGCGTATAAAGTATGATGAAACCATAGCAAAGACAACAAGGTGAAACAAGGTATAAAACAAAGGTTTTAAACTTTCAATCTTAAGAAAAAGTATCATCATTAACATCAATAGCAATCTCCCTGACCTTAAGATGAAACATCCACACTAAAAGCTTCTCCGGCAATGTCATAAGCATTCAGGATATTTGAACATACAGTGGAAACCATATATAACAGGCCCGGTAATAACAGGGATCCGGTAATAACAGGGATTTTTAAAATGATTTTTAAATCATATATTCCACAAGGTTCGATTCACACCATTATCAAGGATAGAGAGAAGATAGTAGCAGCATACTCCAATGAAAAGTTTGCTCTGGATCGAAAGAAGATGAGATTACCAGATGCAGATGTCGTGGACCAAGCTCTTCTGATGTGGTTTAAGGAGGCAAGGAGAAAATTGGTGCCAAAACCCCTGTTCGTGGGTACTTGTGGCAAGGGAAACTACCCATGAATAAGTACAGCTGGATTAGTCCACAAATGCTTATTTTCCCTTACATTTAACAGGGATCGGATATAACAGGACATTTTCTCTACTCCCACCATCCCTGTTATATCAGGTTTCCAATGTACATTAAGGACAGCCTGGGGGGATCTATAGTAAGCACCAAACGAAAAAAAACAACTAACACCAAGAACTTGCACATCATTTCCAACACAACAGCATCACCATCTTTAGCGAAATCCTCATCATCACTATCATTATCATTACATCCCTTTTTTCTTGTTTTGTTTTTCTAGAAGCATAACAATTTGTACCATGTTAGCACATTTTTACGTAACTTACCAATATCAGCACCAAATGCAGGACATAGGACCCCCCCAAAAAAATCTGTAGCATAGACTGAGTCAGCACATTCCTAGAAATATTTCACCTGGAACAGATTATGACATTAACGAGAAAGAAAAGAAGAAAAAGAAGCAGACAACATGGACGCTCATCAACTTTCCATTCATGAGATAGGAACCAACTGGAAAATAAAATGAACTAAGAACAACAGTGAAAAGAATAAAGGCAAACACAGAAAGAAAGAAAGAGCAGAAGAAACTGGATTTGAAGGAGAAAATAAAAACAAAGCAGAATGTTTGTTTACTCTCATTATGAAAAACTGACAGCAGCTTCTCAACATAAGGAAGAAAGTAAGTATTGTAGCATCTAAGAACTTGGGTGTAAAACAGACAGCATTGAAATAGTGAACACATCAACACTGTAATCAAAACTTATTTCATGCATATATATATATATATATATATATATATATATATAATATACATAGTACCAATAAGTGGATCAATGACATAATAATACAAACAGGTTTAAAAACATTTATTTGGTATATTTCTTTGATTGACAAAAGTGGCACTTTGATTTGGTTCATAAACAAAACATGTAGCAGCATCACAAAATGGGCTGCTTCTCTTACTGTTCCATTATGAAAGTTTAAATTACTTGACAGCCTTTTGAAAAACTCTTTAAATACACTTAAAAAGTATTTCTTACATTTGTATTGACTCCTAATGTTTTGTGACTGAAAGTTGAGAGAATGAAAATCAATTTACAAAAATGCGGGGTCAAAATTTGCAGTGAGATATCATGTTCAACAGTTTAGCAAAAACAGTTAACTCATATTCAGATTTAGAAACAAAACAAAAATTTACTTTACTTTGTAAATTAATAAACTCATAAAAATAGATGCTTTCCAGGACACAAAGAAATTATAGAATTACAATTTTGATCCTGACAGAGGTTCTGCCTGAAATCTTTGCTTAGCTGCTCGAATCATCTCATTTTGTTTTTAAGCTGCTACACAATAAATGATTAACAAAAGCATTAAGATACACAGACCCACAATACCCAAGCACACAGTCAGGTCATAGATCTCTGGGTATGATAAGTTTCTCCTGAGCTGCTCTGTATACTTGTTTCAAGTCTGTCAGTCGAGGCCAGGAATGCTGTGATGGGTGTGGGAGGAGGTGGGAACAAAATAAGGGGAAAGGAGGAGAGAGAAAAAAGAGAAACAAGTAAGATTTACCTAGCAATATTTCTTTTTTATCCACCAGTCTTACTGTCATTTTGAAGAAGATCACTGTTTACCAGTTACGAGACAATAAAGATTAAGAAAGCCACGAGTACTCAAAATAAGGGGAAAGGAGGGGAGGGAAAAAGAAAAACCAGTACGATTTACTTAGTAATAATTTTTTTTTTCCGTTCTTTTTTATCCACCAGTCTTATTTTCATTTTGAAGAAGATCACTGTTTACTAGTTACGAGTACTCCTCAGTTAGAAGACAAATAAAAAGTGATAAATACTACATCTGATAAATGTTTTGCTGCTGAATGATGTACAAGTAATGTACATTTTAAATAGCTAGGGTAAGTTTAGATTTTTGACACTTTTCGAAAGCAAAAACCGATAACATAATTCGGATCCTTCTGGGAGGTGGACTGCTTTGACCCAGCTGGTCAGGACCTATATATATAGATCATATGGAGGGATAACTCACAGCAGAAAGACAGAAACACTCAACGAAATATCTTCCTCAAGTGGGAGTCCAACTCACTTCTATTGCATGACCAACCATTACATCAGAGACATCAGTCAAGATAGAATTAAAATACAGCCGAAAGGGCCCAAGATGGCCTCCCATTGTTGAGAAGGAAAAAAAAGCGGTTGTTTTGAACAAGTGGACAACTTGGATAGTGTTATTATAACATTAAAAATATGCAAAAGAGGAACTGGAAAGTGGCTATTGGTACAGGTGAATGACTTGGACAGGTAGTCATTAAAGCAGGTTTGACTGTATTTATCATAATTTATGTCTAAAATTTAATCTCCAGGATGAGACACTCTGATTTTAAGTTTTCAAATTAAAAATGAGACCCACAGATGTTTCTGATTGTTTAAAAAAAGCAGAAAGCCCAAATGGTAACTGGAAAACTCTAAAAAGAACAGGCCCTTTAATTATGCAAGCAATATGAAAAAAAGTCCGTACTTGATTTTTAAACTTACAACTTTGAACGGAGATTTGAGAATGCCAAAAATTCAGGGGTTCTACAGATTTTTTTTCTTTACTTTGTACACAATATAATTACATCTTTCGTATGCTTGCAACACATATGCAGTACACACTGTGTTGCTTACAATATAATAAAATATCACAATAATCATAATATGAAGAAAACTTCCCAATGGTACATAGCTTTTTTAAAGTGAATAAATGCTAGCGAGTTCCCAAATATTTCAATACTACTTACTGAAAACAGGGGATATAACTGCTGAATATTATCACTCTGCTCTTCTTTCCGCAGAACAACCAGGTAGTACATGACAGAATGCTGTTGGCAAACAGGGGGGGGGGGGAAGGAGAAATTATAAAACATGTCATAGAAAATTAAACAAAGTTCAAAAAAATGCTACAAATAACATAAAGAAAACACAAAAAGAAGCAACTAAAACGCCAATTTCAAAAAAGAATATGGACATGTGTCATGGATCCAGTAATAAACCACGCATAATAATGACTGAGATTTTTTTTAAAAGAAGAAGATTCATTTTGGAAGAGCCATGTATGCACAGTTGTGCCAGATGAAGAATTTTAAAACAAAACTTCAGTTTTCAATTTAGAAATCATTCTTTCAGAACCAAAATTTAAAAAAAAGAGTTATTGCTGAGAAAATACTAGTAGGTGAGGATGAATATTCTTCAGTTAGTAAATGAAAGATCACAAACCATGGTGATAGCTTCGTTGATGACAATATCCTTAATATGGGAAATGTCAATGAAATATGTGACTGTGTGTCCGAGGAAATATGTGGTCTCCACTTGTACTCCTAGTGATGGTAGAAAAAGAACTTTTTCTGAAACAGAAAGAAGAGCATGTGAATGTCTTACAATATTTTAAACACTCTTGATATGCACAACATACTATAGTAACTAATACGCTCTAAACCTCGAAGAGAACATAAAAGTATGTCCTGGCATTTCAAATTAATTTCTCAAGGCTCACCTGTATCTCCTTTCCAAGTGTACATATGATATCAGAAGGCTCTCTTTTAGAATCTCGTTACTAGGATATAAGTCCATTCTATTACATTGTACATCACTATGATGTCTGGTCAGGTCCTGTCATTTTAAAGGGCAGAGGCGCCCAGCCAGACAAAGATGGATTTCCTTTAAAATTCCTCGCATAGAACGACCAGATATAATATGTGGATCAAATCCAGACTAAGCAGTAAAGAGAGTAATCACGGAGATGACAACAGATTTGCATTCAAGTGAAAGAAAAATTTATACTGAACATGCTAAATTTTGCCTTTCTCTAAGAATAACCTGTTTTTATATTTTACACAGCATTTTGTTGGACTGTTGTTGCTCTTATAAATGTTTGTTTCCAAGCAATTGAGACAGAAGAATAAATTTATAGATGACCAAAAGTAGTGATGCAATCCAATGATTTTTATTTTGGGAAAGGACAAGGAGGAAAAGGAGATGTGTTGGGTTTGGAGTTGGAGGGGAGAAGGAGCATTATGCTGAAGAGCTGACTGAAAATCTACACTCTATAGGCCTATGTATGCACTTTTACAAAAAGAATGTCTAAGAAGAAATGCTGGTGAACCCTGTTGATGAGGATCTGTCAATCATGAAGTGGTTTTTAATTGGTTCATATGTCTTTCCCCTCTTATATCAATGTACTAAAAGCAATGCACCAGAATATTCCAACCCACATTTTTACCCTAAAAGCTAGCTAGCTACTTAACTAGAAATGCTCGTAAATCTTTACTTTCAGACCCGCACGCAAACTGTCGGGGGCTAAACTGCAGTAAATTTTGCTGAAGAAAATGACCTATAAAACCCTCACAAATCAAAATAGTGCTTGAGAGAACATCAAACATAATTTACAAAACACTAAATTATGGTAAAATACAGGTGAGTATACCCCCCCCCCCCTGAAACCCCAGTTTTGTTTTTTTAGGTGGGGGGGGGGCACCCACTAAAATCCCCCATGCTGTTAAAAACAATTTAAATGTATTGCAATTGGTCCTATAGTAAACTACGTAATTAATCATCTAATTAAAAAATATGATCCATCTCATAAACTAATAATTTGCAGAGGATATAAAGTCAAAATTCGTGTTTTGTAAAGCAGAAAAAAAAAGAACACAAAGAGGGCTTTAGAATTCTGAATGTGAGACGGGTCCATGAGTAAAATAACTATCAAATTGCTCAATTAGAAACTTACCAGTAGTAATTTTCAAATACATTCGAACCACCAAACTTGAAAACAGAACAAGGGTTGTTGAAGCAAGGATATTCTTGTCCTGTAATACAATGCAAATTTCTTTTGGATGTGTTTAACTTCTTTGTATTGTACATCTTCTTAGGATGTAGTAGAGGAGTATTGCTTAAAAACATTTAATACAAAAAGGGAGATACGTGTAACATCGAAAAAATAAATCAAGGTTGTAGTGAAGGCTTCATAATTATAACTAATTTACCTGTTGTACCTTGTTGCCGATATAAAACATATGACAGGATGCCTGGAAGGTTGGACCCTTAAAAGCCAAGAAAAAAAGCCTGGGCATTATCGTTACAAAAACTAAGTTACTATTCTAGATTGGTAAAGATCTTTTCTCTTGTATCAATTTTATCTTTAATCTTATCAAAGCAGGTGACTATTCTCTGGTGTCAGGCCGGCCAATAGATCTCTGGCTATTCTCTGGCTTCACGTATAGTTGTACATGTCGCTTCTCCACAGCTTTCCATCTCCCATGTCGGTATGTTATGGCCATTATTGTTGCAACTGAGTTCAGAGCCAGATGCACCTTCTTATACTTCTGGTTGTGACTGAGGGTTGTTGGTGCATCTGGTGCTGCAATCTCTGACACAAAAATTCCTCCTGGAGCTTTAAGTAGAGGCTGCATGCCCACCTATGGTGAATCGCCTTCTGAAGAAATGCCGACCCTGATACAGGTGCGTGTAAGGCCATTATAACACGCCAACAGGGGAGACGGAAAGCTGAGGAGAAGCGACATTTGCAAGTTTACGTGACGCTGAAGAATAGCCATCGATCTATTGACTGGCGCGACGCCGGAGAATAGCCACTTGCTTCTAATCAAACGGTTATTTGATTAAACTTTCCATGTGCAATTAATGTAAACTGCCAAATAAAATAAAGAAGTGGCCTGTCACCCTGTGTCTCGCTACTCTCACCCCCCTCAAGTGTGCTATAGCACAGACACACACAGAACAGCACAGAGAATAACTTAAGTTGTACAGACCTACAATAAGTTTCAGGTTTTAGTTTCTTTGTTTTAGTGAGGTTTTACGGCGCTCGCAACTGCATAAGGTCATATATATGACCGCCAAAGGTTTAGTTTACTTAATGGGCTGGGTGAAGGCCATTTCACACCAAGAACAGCAAACAACAGTGAAAAAAAAAAATAACAAGCTACACTAGATCTAGATCTGGTTATAATTAGATCTCTATGCAAGAAAGAAATGTCAAGAGCAGAACGCATCTGATACACCTAGATCTAGATTTTAATTAAGGCTATCTAGGGCAATGGTATGGCCTAGATCTGCATGAGGAAACATGCCCACACCAGAGTGGGGGTGACAATAACGGGGATGAGAATATAGGCAGGTGCTATTTGCAACGCCGCATTCTGAACAGCTCCCATGCTATTTGAAACGCCGCGTTCTGAATAGCGTCCATTCTATTTGAAACGCCAGTACCAGATCTAGTAGCCATCAATTCTACATAATAATATTGTAGTTTAGCCTGAATTGTGTTTAAGGGGATGTTTTCTTCCCAAGCCAAGCTACCCCACACATCTAATTGCCTCTACTCCTCAAGACAACAATTAGAACAGACATGCAGGTATTACAGAATGGCATGCAGAAGAGTTAACGCTCAGATGCTACTGGATCGCTAATAACAACAACAGCCTGAATTGCGGAAGCTTTCTCAGTTTCTAGATAAACCTCCTCGGAGTTTACTCCTTTTTTATGACTTTGTCTTATCTGATCAATATTGGGTAGATCTAGATCTAGATCTAGATCTAGATCTAACAATTGTTTCTGACACTCTCATTGTTTGCACACAAGCAGTCTTCTTCATCTCTCATAATCATAATCATTTGAGTTTGAGCAAGTAAGTCAAAAGACGCTTGGAAAATAATAACAAGATGGTGCAACTCGGTCTAAGCAGTATTTCCTGTCCGCAGTGTTGTCATACAATAGGCCCCTACCTAAAAATAATTAATTATTAGATCTAAGTCTAGATCTATCTCAGCGTGCACTTTATATTTTGCCATCACACATAACGTCGCCTGATCTAGATTTCTAGGCTTCGGCGTTAAATTAGCAGGGGCTAGTGTCTACATTTCCTCTAATGTTAGGCCTAGAGAACGTACAAGCTTCTACGTTCTCAAATGTTCAGTGCTTACAAGCTGGCATCGAATCCCGTTCTCAGTTCAGAAGGGGTTTTTTTCTTCTCACGAGTCTAAAATTATTTTAAAATATAATTTGACTCACAGACCAAGGAAATCCACTATTGAACTTTAACCAGGCCTAAATTGGTAAAATGAAAAGTATAGAGACCTACGTTGTAGGTAAAAGTTCCTCTTGCGGACAAAATCAGAAAGTGCAAGCAAGCTTAATCACTAGACGTCTCTATACATAAAAAACTACAAAGCAACAAGTTATATAATAATTTTAAGGGAAAAAATTCTTGGTCAGTCGGGAAGAGGAGAAGAAGTAGAAAAAAAAAAATTCCAGGACCGGGATTTGTACCCATGCTCATAAAATAATGGTTTGACTTCAAATGCAGACGCGGTCCATTCGGCTATCTGACAACGAAGCGTAGATGAAGCCTTATAAATAAATATTCAACACGGCGTTTTATTTAGCACTGGCGCTAAGCTTATCACAACGCTGCGTTTTATTCAAGGCAATTGTTTACCTTCTCGCGTTTAATTCCGGCCACGCCTAGACCAGACGAAACTCTATGCATCCTCGACTGGATATATATATTCAAAACTTTGCGCTGGAGTTCAACAATACATAAACTACTGCAATTTCATAATTAATTTGTAGAGATATCTAGATCTAGTAACATACTGGCTTTAGGCCTTCCGTACAGATTTTGCTGGCCATTGAGTGTATAATATTTTTATAGAGTTCAGAGCGGTCGCTCGTTACGGAAGTCCTCCCCCAGAACTAATCGCAACACGGCCAAATAAAGCCTCTGCTGTCATTCTGTCAACAACAAAAGATTGACCTACAGTTTAGCTACAACACAACCATCATAAACTCTCATAAACTTACCAGTAGATGGAGGCCCATAGAAAACGATGCCAAAAGAGTCAATGAGAGCAGAATACCAAACACTGTTTTGCTTTTTATTGACGGGTGAGAAACAATGAATTCACTTCCTTTTCTCCCCATGTCCTTATGGTAGAGTTTAAATACCGCCATTTTCGCTTTTGTAGACTTAGGTTTCAGCTTCTAAAATAGACAAGAGGTTAAACCGGTGTCAATACAAAGCGCTTCCCTGATAATCCAGCCATTTCTCAAAGAAATCCATCCACCATAATAACCACTATTTGGTAGCAAGGCAGTATAAGCAGTATAGAATAAATCTACTGACATTTCGTAAAAACTTCGACTCAAAGAGTTATACTATTATTTTGTGGCATTATTCAAGTAAGTATTTTGCAGCTTACAAAATGAAGATGAATATAATCTTTCATTAGATCTCGTTAAGTAAACCTATGTCAGTTTTCACTTCTTGTATATAGATATCTAGATTATGACTTTGTCTTCTGGGAAAACACAATTGTATTGTCTACTCACTTATTTTGTTTATTGTTCGGATGGGACGACACCATCAACACAAGAGTTCGCTGAGGAATGTCGAGCAGAAACTAAGGAGAGTCTCAAAAGACCTCTTTAAGTTTAAGGTGGGGGGGGGGGGGGGGCCAAGGAATTTACAGCAGTTCTAAGCTCCTTGGGTGGGGGGGGGGGGTACACCCCAAAAGTCCCGATTCGCTCAAAATTATGGAATTTGAGTTGTAGGCATTTTAAGCTTCCTCAGCCTCTCCTACCACTATTTCATTGCATGAGAACCCCCAAAAAACTCTTATTTTTTCCCATACCGGGCATGTTTGTCACCTCCATTTCCTCATAAAGTCAATATAATTTTATTTTTCTTTATCGGCCGTTTTCTCAAAACGTGACTCTCTATACTTTTTTGGATAACTCCACTATTTTTCATCCAATCTTCATGAAATTTTCACAGAATGAAGAGAAGATGTAATACTAAAAATTCGTCAGTTGAATTTTTGATAATATATGGAATAGATTTTTGTTTGTGGTGTCTGTAGTGTGGATTTTCGCGGATTTTTTTCAAACTTGAATGCTACCTCCGGAAAAAAATTAATTTAAAAATTTCTAATTGGTTTAGGAAAAATATAACAGACACATTTTTAGATCTAATATTTGTTATTAACACGTGTGCAAAAAAAATTAATTTCTATGAACAATAAGTGCGGTATTCATTACGTAAGACATGTCAACAAAATCCAATATGGCCGCCGTATCCATGGAAACGAAACTTTTTTCTCAAATTTGATTGCAGATTTTAAGACTCCTTACTATGCTTGTAAATAAACATGTGAAATTTGGTAAAATTTGGTACCTTAATAAGCGAGATAGCCTTCAGGTGTAGCCTCCCCCCTCTTAACTTTAATTAAACCGACGCTATTTAAAGAAATTTTTATTCTGATTTATTATTTACATACTTGGTTAAGATATAAGACCAAAATTAATAGCCCAAATTGGATCAAGGTAAGCCTGCATGGTGCATTTTTAATATAGGCCAAGAAGGTTTCATATTTTCCTAACGACGCGTCGTGGGACTTGTGGAAGGCCATGACAACAGTTAACTCAACAGACAACCGAAGTTCAAGAATACCTCGAAAAAATGGACGGGCTCATAATTAATATAGCCGTATGTGTTGCAGCCTAGGATAGGTCCTACGGATTGAGCTAACCCCTGGCCTTAATTTGAGTTAAGCACACACATACACACACACACACACACACACAC